TATAATACCGTAATTCATGGATACTGCTTGAAAGGGGATCTAGAAGAGGCTAATAAAGTTCTTGAGTCGATGATATCAAAAGGGCTTGAGCCGGATACATATACATATGGATCACTGATCAGTGGCATGTGTAAGGAGCGTAGGGTGGACGAGGCGTCTGCACATTTTGTGAAGATGATGGAAGCTGGGTTGGCGCCCACAGCTGTGACATATAACACTTTGATTGATGGATATTGTAATAAAGGGGACTTGAAAAGGGCTTTCTCTTATAAAGATGAGATGATCAAGAAAGGAGTAATGCCTACTGTATCTACTTATAATTTGCTAATTCATGCTCTGCTTCTTGAAGGTACAATTGGTGAAGCTGATAATTTGTTAAAAGAGATGCAAGAAAAAGGGATGCTTCCAGATGCCATTACATATAATGTACTGATCAATGGGCATTGCAGAGCTGGAAATGCCAAAAAAGCCTTTAGTCTTCATGATGAAATGTTTAGTAAAGGGATTCAACCTTCCCGAGTTACATACACTTCACTGATTCATGTCTTGGGCAAGAGGAACAGAATGAAGGAGGCAGATGACTTGTATGCAAATATATTACGAAGAGGTGTATTACCAGATCTTATAGTGTTTAATGTGTTAATTGATGGTCACTGTGCAAATGGAAACATGGAGCGTGCTTTTCTGCTTCTGGAGGAGATGGATAAGATGAAGGTCACCCCTGATGAAGTGACCTATAATACACTTATTCGAGGGTATTGCAGAGAGGGTAAAGTGGAAGAAGCACGTGGACTTTTTGCTAGGATGAAGGAACAGGGAATTGAACCTGATCATATCACCTATAACACACTGATTAGTGGGTATAGTGGGAGAGGTGACGTGAAAGATGCCTTCAGAGTGCGGGATGAAATGTTTAGTTTAGGGTTCAATCCCACTCTTCTCACTTACAATGCTCTTATACAAGGATTATGCAAAAAAGGCAAAGGAGATCTTGCTGAACAACTCCTCAAGGAAATGGTGAGTCAAGGTATTACTCCTGATGACAGCACTTATATTTCTTTGATAGAAGGTATTGGGAATGCAGGTAGCTTTAAGGGTAAAAGTATCCAGGATGAGGTATCTTGTGCATAGACATGTGTAGTACTTGGAAAGCCATGCATGGATAGATATTTTGACAGTATCAGGCATGAGCTCTTGCTGGAGTGTAAATTCTTGTGTTGCTTACTTCTTGATAGCTTTATTTTGGGATTCGATATATTATACTCCTGCATGAAAAGTAAAGACACTGTCATGAGGGTGGATAGAGTAAAAACACTGGCACCTTCAGAATTTTGTCACAGTACATGTGTCTACAGGCTTAAGAGGCTGTTCTGTTGAGGATGTAGAAGCTGATTCTCTATTTCTAGTAATGCTTCAAGGCAAGCAGTGAAAAATGTCATTGTGCTTGCTAATGTACCCATCTGAGCTTGTGAAGCAGACTACCTGCTACATTGATGTTCTTTGAGGAAATCTCATTGCTGCGAGATACTCTTTATCAACCTTTTTCAAAAATGATGTTTCCAGGGCACTGAAAATAGGATGAGAATCATTTGAAGGGGGTTTTCCATCATCAAGGTAGTAATGTATACTTTATTGATCAAAGGCTTTGCTAAAGTGGATCTGAATATGAGGATTTGGTGCTACATTTTGCTTCGGGTGAGAGACTCTTGCATGCAGAAACCTTTTTGTTTGGAGTAAGAGTCATGCGACTGAAGAGCTACCTTTGAATTAGATGTTCAACCTGTAGATTTGGAAGGTTTAATGAAGTCGAATACTTCTGCCTGCCTCAACATGATTTAGGACTGATCATGTAGATAAATTTTTTTCTTTTATTCTTTTTTTTTTTATCAATCTTTTGCTCGGCGATGCACTCCATTTGTACTTTGTAAGTCATTTATGTGCTGTAATACTTTCGGGGAGACATCAATTTTGTAGTTAGAATTCGTGTTGAACAAGAAGAAACTATTGGTACTTAATTGATGAACAAGTATTGATGTGATTTGAGGGATTTTTGTAATATCCATCTCCCTGAACAGTTTCTGGTTCATTTTATCCCCTTAAAACATCTGCTTGATGATATGATCTGGCTCTTTTTATTTGTGAAATGAAATTAAGCATCTACTTAATGGAATGTTTTGTTTAATAACATCTCTTTTATTATGCCTAGCGTTCTTTTCGTTATTTATTTCATAGTTCACCCATGCAGATAATGCATGATACAGACTCGTCCTGTTTTTGCTGTAAGAAACCCCGCTTAGTTTATTCACATCACCATCTGTGCAACTTTGTTGGAAGAAATTGCGCTACTGCTTCAGCAATCTCAATCTTCCAGTCCATTTGAAATTGGACTGGACACAGAACACAAGTATTTTTCATAAACCATTACTCGGTCTTAGGTAATGTTCCGTCAGGATCTTGAAACGAACTTGTTATCGCCAGTAAAGATATTATATCTTTAAACAAGTGATAACGTCTCATGTGCTACTTTTAAGAATTGAAACATATCAGAGTCCACTACTTGATGGTGGGGTCAAAGGTCTGTATCCCTTGTTATCAGTTCACTGGCTTCGAATTCCTGAAAGATGGTTATGCATTTATGGTCAATTGACAATTGAATATGGTAATCCACTAGCTCTTGTCAACTGCCTCTATGCCTTAATCTTTAGTGTGTTATTGCATTAAATCGCCATTCAAACAAACATGAGTCCTAATACGCAAGGCTATGAGATTATATGTCATAACCTTTCCATTACAACTGTAGACACAATTTTTCTTTGAAGAATAGTGGAAGGGTCACATTTGGATGGTTTGTCATCATTTTAGTGGAATTGTTTGTGGAAACACATGCACCATGCACCAAATTTTGTTTACAAAACCTATCGTGCATTTCTGAGACGAAATTCCGCAAAGTACTTCCAAGTTTTTAAGCCTTGCAGCAGACCCAATTCTCCAATATCAGAAACTTCAATGGGAAAACTTGTGGAACACCTAGTATCTGGCTTCGCCCTTGCCAGCCTTGGTTTCTGGCATGCCTTCAACACAGTCAGAGCCTGCTATGCAAATGACTCTTCTAAATTTACAGCAAGGTTTTGGTACCCATTTAGGAGTCCAATTTGCAAACTTAAAAATCTGGAGCTCATACTTGTCTTGTCTTTCTCCATCTTGGCAATTTTCATGCAAATCTTGGACTTTCCTCCTCTACACCTTTCTTTCAAACATGAGAATTTTGAGCATGCAACTATGTTCCTTCACCTTGCCATTTTTTCTGGTTTCAATCTTCTTGCAGAGCTAAGTCATTTGCCTGAGACCCTATCTGGCGTCTCCGGCATACTTGCAGCCTCTGTTTTTGCTCAAGAGCTTTTCTTGCTCCATTACCACTCAACTGATCACATTGGACTTGAGGGTCATTACCATGGGCTTTTGCAGCTCATAGTATTGGTGTCACTGTTCGCTGCATTGGTTGTAACTTCTTGTCCTTCTAGTTTCCCTGCAGCACTAGTTCTTTCGGTTTCAGTCATATTACAAGGATGCTGGTTCATCGTTATGGGATTCATGTTGTGGGTTCCTAAGTTCATTCCACAAGGATGTGTGGCGCAGTTAAGTGATGCCAGCAGCAGCATCATGCAAGGAGCGGTCGTCTGTGAGACTCAAGAAGCTAGTTTCAGGGCAAGAGCACTGGCTAACTTGCAGCTCAGTTGGATGCTTTCTGCAGTTTTGATCTTTGTCACGGGGATTTTGCTTGGATTTTCCAGAGCTTTTGCACCTAGAGGACCATCAACTGACTATAAGCAATTACAAACTAGAGCCACGGATATACCCTTACCAATTACGGAATTCAAGCAAACTTGGCCACGAGAAGTGAGAACTTGACTGACTACTCAAGTCTGGCAAATTAGTTGCCAATTAAAGGGCCTTCGATGAACTTGGGAGTCCATGTAGTGTTTGGATTCCGAGGAATGATGTATATAAGAATAAGTGATTTTGGAGCGTTAAGCTATCGTTTGCCCTCGATGTATTCCTGTCAAGACTGATTTCAGTATACTGATGGATTGAAAACTTCGTGCAAACTTAGACTAATAATCGATATACTTTCAAGAGAAGTGCCTTAGACAGCTACTCTTGGTCAAAGTTCGTTAGGTTTTCGTCCCTAGATGAAAATAGTTTGTGGACTGTATCCATGGTTTGACATCGTGGGTTGAGGCCGCGTCGCGGTCTCGGTTGTTCCACATCCATCGCGGCATATCGATTGAATATCGGGTGATACGCACATTATAGCACATGAAAGTTTCCAAAATTTTTGAAAAAATTACTAAAATTAGAAAATATTAAAAAAAAGATACAATTTTGAAAAATATCCGAGTCAATTTCGAATTGACTCGGATATATCGGTCGATATCATGCATCACAAATTCGAATAGGCCAATATCGGCCGAATCAAAGCAAGTCGTTGCGGATATGATAATATTACAGCGATTGACATCGTAACAGTCCCCTCCATTCCAGTTACGACTCGACCGATACGTATCGGTATCGGCCGATATTATGAAACATGACTGTATCAAGAAGAAAGATTATGATTGTCAAAACACGGAAAGGACCAAAAAAAAAAAAAGTTAAAATAACAAAACTAGGTCCAAGTTATGAAGATGTTGAGGGTGACTGCGTGGGTGGGTAGATGGGTTGGTCTAGGGCCGCCTAAAGTAATTTCAAGAAATGCGTTCCCATTGAATAGTTAATTAATTGCCCCCACGTGAATGGGCTGGTGGTTGGCGCCTCTTCCTCGGGACCGTCAGGTCCTGGGGTCGAACCTCCGCAGCAACACCAGTTCCGCCGTGCATCTAACGTGCTAGGTCTGATTGGGGCGTCGGGCCGGGCCGGAGTGGGATTAGTCGGGCCGCCTTTACGGAATTGACCCGGACACCCACTTCGTCGACAAAAAAAAAAAAAAAAGAATAGTTAATTAATTTCATCGTTTCAAGTTTTCATCACCCTCATGTCTCGAGATCCATGATACTTGCTTAGTCTCCATAATAAGTGAGCAGTACTACCTTTATCACTGACGAAGCATGTTCTCCTCCAGTAGGTTACAAGCAATCTAATTCTAAAGTAAGCTCAAGAGAACAAAGCAGTTACTCTGACCCCCATCCAATGAGCTGCATGCGAGATCCTTGTGGAGAAAATTCACAAAGCATTTACCTCTTTACTTTCTGGATAAGAACTGCACGAACATCAGAATTCTGCAGCACCCGTTGTCCTGAAGTCCCACTTGAATCATGACTCGGTTATCATCCAGAATCAGATGCCTGTGCCCAGTTGTGGTGTTTAGCTTGTTGGGGTGCCTGATCACGATCCGGTTATACTCCATAACGAGCCAACCCTTTGTGCCTGGTGCAAAAATTCAAATGCCTAACACCTATCTTTCTCAATTTGGTGAGCTCGTAGATGTGGAGGAACTGGAACACCCACCCTTATCGAAAGGGCAAGACACGCAAACTACAAGCCTGGTTGATGAGTTTCTTGACAAGGGCTCCCAGATCAGGAGTTTTTTCTTTCCTGATAAGAGAAACGCTATCGATCCGGGGGAAGGGAGTGATAGGAATTACTATTATCCAGGAAGAATTTGGCTGGACACGGATGGGAATCCAATCCAAGCTCATGGAGGCGGGATTTTGTACGATGAGAGATCAAGGAGGTACTACTGGTATGGTGAGTACAAGGATGGTCCAACCTACCGTGCTCCTAGGAAGGGCGTGGCCAGGGTGGATGTCATTGGAGTTGGATGTTATTCTTCCAAGGATTTGTGGACTTGGAAGAATGAGGGCGTTGTGCTGAAAGCAGAAGAAAAGAACGAGACTCATGATCTACACAAGTCCAAAGTTCTAGAGAGGCCTAAAGTGATTTACAATGAGAAGACACGTAAATATGTAATGTGGATGCACATTGATGATGCTAACTACACTAAAGCCTCAGTTGGAATTGCTATCAGCAGTTCTCCAACTGGTCCATTTGTTTATCTTTATAGCAAGAGTCCTCACGGATTCGATAGCAGGGACATGACAATTTTCAAAGATGGAGATGGTATAGCATACCTGTTTTACTCTTCTCTGCACAATAGACAAACTCATATTGGTCCCCTCAGTAAAGATTATCTTGATGTTACAAATTCTATGACCAAGGTTTTAGTCGGACAGCACAGAGAAGCGCATGCTGTGTTTAAACACCAAAGCAACTACTACATGATCACATCAGGCTGTAGTGGCTGGGCACCCAATGAGGCACTGGTTCATGTGGCTGAATCAATTATGGGGCCATGGGAGGCCATTGGAAACCCTTGCTTTGGAGCAAACAAAGTTTTTCGGGTCAACACATTCTTTGCTCAGAGTACATTTGTACTTCCCATGCCAGGGGGACCTCCGGGGTCATTTGTTTTTATGGCTGATCGTTGGAAGCCAGATGACTTGCGCGATTCAAGATATTTATGGCTGCCTCTAATTGTGGAGGAAGAAGCATACCAACAGCTGCCTCTTGTTAGTCCTATAAGGCCCAAAGTATCAATCTTTTGGAATGCAAAATGGATGATACCTTACAGAGGAATTCGTGAGAACTCACGATGAGGTTTTTCATGCCAATAAATCATTGAGCAACATAACAAGGTTTAATGTGTCTTTATCCAACTACAGGCACAAGGTAGCTCAATCATGTGTACACTTTATCTAACCGGGATACAAAGGAAACGGAAATAACAGAGCCAATATGCTAGCTCCATCGCAAAATGTTCTGCTCTGGGCAAGATGTCTATTAATTTCTTTAGCTTGTAGTTTTGCAGTTTAGTATCTGTTGTACGAAGCAAGATAATTCTTGATAAATAGTATCCAAGATGTAGAAGCCTGCATTGTTCCCAGGAAAAGCAGCATAAAATCCTTCAGTTGGTTGCCAAAATTTCATCCATCAGTTAATGTGCGAGGTAAGAAGGTGATTGGAAAATGTGTTCAAAGAAAACGTAAAAAAATTTTCTATAAAAAATCACAATCCAAATAAGAAGGTTCACAAGCAGTTGAGGAAAATAAATAAATAAATAATTGTTTTTTGTGTCATAAGTTGGCAGGTCTGAGCTTGAAGAGTTTCACGAGTAAACTTGGTGTCAAGCGTTAAACCAGAATAGGGAGCCACAAATAAATGGATGACTGAGATGATGAATGTCTAGCTTTTGGCAATAGAAAGGATAAATGTTGATCAACGCAGTGTCTCAAGAAGTTTCCAACAGAAACGAATTGTACAAATTTGGTTCACTTGTCCAAATTAACTCAATTCTACATCCAGAATAGAATTAGGCAAAAAAGAACAGAAACCTTGATGAAAAACATCTTCTTTAACCAACTAAATTTTGTAATTTCTTATTCGGACTCTTCAACGGAGGTTTCGATTCGAAGAAGAACAAATCCCACAGCTACTCCAATAAGAACTAGGACTTGAATGATAGCAGCAATCCTAAATATCTCATCAGCAGCATTGCAGGTTGAAGAGAGAGCTCCGCCACCTCTGCCTTTGCTCTGTGAAGGACAACTCAATGAGCCAACAATCTTGGCAAAGGATTGTTCAGTGCTAACAGGAAGGCCTAATGAGACAACATTGTTGTGAGCCTTAAGGCCACCAAATGAGTTCAACCCACTAATATAGGTGACTTTGGTCCTCCTTAGGGAGGTTCTTCCTGAGCCAGGAATAGCTGCAGCCTTAATCGTGGCCGGAGATAGTGTAGCTGTGGCTATCGCCATTGCTTCCTGACCAACAACCTATGGAATGAGAAAGATGCAACAATTATGCAAAAGGGGTACCTGACTACCTTAAAATACAGATACGTGTTTCTTTTGGACTTGATAGGGTGATCAAGTTACCTTGTTCGAAATGATCGGTGCAGAGCTCTAAGTTTGCTAAAATGCAGAGATAAAGAATGAGTGAGCAAGTGAGACTTTCTACGGAGAGAAATGAAATGAAGTGGATAAGATGGTCAGCCAATGGTTGGCTGAAAAAAGGATCGGATGAGATTTCTTTGAATGGTAAAAGCGTTAGCTTTGATAGGGGCCAAGAAAAGTGTGGGCTTTTGAGGACTTAGAAGACCATTTCTGTCATCTCTGAATTAACAAGCACAGTAACTACTTATTATCAAAGTTCAGTGATGATTTCTCCAAATAACACAAAATAGCAGAAGCCTGTTTTCAGAAATTATTCAATCTGGCTATGAATGTCACTCAAAATATCTAGGGTAAAGGGAAGTTCAAAAGTAGGAATCTTATTTGTATGACCTTCCGAATCAGAAAACTGATTGAAAACAAACCAAAAACAATAGCAAGTAGGAATGAACCTTAACACCACATCTCCTCTTCGCAAAACAATGCCTCGAACTAGGCAAACAAGTTCTCAACTAATAAGGAGGTCAGCAATCCGAAGATTTATTTTTTCTAGTATATCAATGTATCATGAAGCCCGAATCCGTTTAGGACTGGGTATCTATAAAATTGTTAGGGCAATTGCATTGTAATTTGTACAGTTTAGGATTCAAATGGGTTCAATCTGAATTTGAAGAGATGGAATTGATTGCATGTTACAACCTCAAAAAATTTGCTCCTCTTTGGATGGATGATGTTGTGGTGGTTTTATTCCCAGTTCCCACCTGTGACTATGATCATCGATTCGGTTTCTTCTTCTTGGTTAATGCATCTGTATCCTGATTCAAGAATCGGAATTGGCCTTCCTCATGCCAAATCAGGTAGAGATCATATCAAGCATTTTAGAATGCAGTAGATTGCTCGAAAAAAAGGGTAGAAAGAAACCTGTTAAAAGAAGGTGCAGCGGATTGAGAATCACAGGGCTTGATCACAATATTGAACATGCTAAACTTCCAAAATCACAAACTCGAAAATAATTCTATTTCAACTGATATCCGTATAAATACACTCAACAAACAATAAAACCAATTCTCACCATCAAGCTACATATATGGCCTCCCTATTTCCTCCATTTCACGGGAAAAAAAAATACAACTCTAACGAAATTATCATTGCCGCCCAACAAATATACCTTAACGACAATTGAGCCAATAGGAAAATGACAAAAATCTTAGGGAAAAAAAGAAAAGGAATCAAATTTCGCTCTCCGGGAGATTTTCAAGTGACGGCAACCGGCTGTCGCTTGGGAGGTTCGATATTCTTATTCTTGCGATTGGAATCGGCGAAATCTTCCGTATTATAGATGACAGTGATGTAAAGAGAACAGCTAGGGCACCGAGCGATTTCTTCGCCCAAACGGAGTTCTTTCTTGGTGATCTGGAAGAGGTCTCCGCAGGGGCAGGGATACGTGAAGGCCTGGAGCTTCTCGTTCCATTCCATGTCCTCAATCTCTACGTCGTCGTACGACATCTGATCTCTCGCTGATTTCAAGTTCTGCCGCAATGTTTTAAAACTCGGACCGTTAATTGAACCGGTGAAGTGAAAGGGTCGAAGTTCAACCGGTCGGACCGATTCAACTCCGGTTCAATAAATAATATATATATATATATAGACACACACATACCTGTGCACAGAATAAGATATAAATGCTAAACCACAATTAACATAAGAAAACTCCATAATTAACAACTTTGATCGGAGGTCTTCCTTAGTTTTGATGTGTCAATATTTTGGACTGACCTCACATAATAGAAAACTCCATTTCATAACTTTAACTTATCCAAAGTTGCATCTTGCCTTCGTTTACTTAAAATAATTTCTATAGGCTATGTATAACTTTAAGAAGCAAAATGTCCTATCCACACTGGATAAACCTTCTGTTGAGTGATGTAGCTATCCAAGAATGGTGCACTAAGTAGGTATCAAATAGCATTTTCTTCCTTTCAAATGATTCAGGAAAATTCCAACAACCAGAAAATGATTATATTCTGATAAGTGGACTTCAGCCACCAAGTACAAATGCATAAACAAGTCATTTAACTTGTTTGTCGGCATGCTGAACATGCTAACCAACATTTCCGCAGTTGCTGTACTAGAGACAGCCCAGCCATTTAGAGAAATCCAATTAAACTAAGGTGTTTAAATTATCTCTTGCCTGATTCTACAGCTAGTTCGCCATTCTGAAGTTGTCTCACAAATGCTATTCCCCATCAAAATTAAAGGAAATACATGAAACACAGAACTGTATCTGAACACACATTCTTTTTGTGCAATTTTCTTCCTAGTAAACTTTCAGTTGCTGCACAGATTTTTTTTCCCTCAGCCAAGGGTCCATTTTCCTAGCTAAATTCATAGGCAGCTTAAGTATCATGTATATTAGACGCGTAAGAGGTTATTACAGAATTTTACCTTCCCTTTTCCTCCTAGAATTTGAAAGTTGCAGCCTGCACTTTTAGTTCCTGCTTCAGTTCTTCCTAAGCCGCACCAGTCACTCATTTTTTCCTCACTTTTGGCTCACAGTTTCCAGGTTACAAGCGAGAGAAATAAAGCTAGCAAATTTTTAATTCTCTCCCTCACTCTCTCGGTTGCAAACTGGAAGCAAGGAGGAATCAGAAATGTTTTCTTTCTTCTTCAATTTTATGTTCCAGCTAAGCATTATAATTGCTACAATCTTCAAGCCAGGCAACAGAGCCAACTAACGAGTAAAAAAAAAAATTTGCAGGACAAACAGACTTATCTAATTTGAGGACAAACCAGATCTTTTGTGAAGAATGGAGTGAAGACTTCCCTCCCTTCCGCCCCGCCTCTCCACAATGAAACTGCCGCCGTTGCGGCCCCTGCCGCAAATGAAGCTGCCCACGCAACCGACAAAAATCTCCAGCAACACCTTCGAATCGGCTGTGAAGTTGGGGGATTTGGAAGGAGCCGGGCGCTATGGAGCAAATGCAGCGGATGAGAAAATTGTGAAGATTGAAGACTGAAGACTTGAGAGAAGACTAGGAGCAACAAAAATCTCCAGCAACACCTTCGAATCGGCTGTGAAGTTGGGGGATTTGGAAGGAGCCCGGCGCTATGGAGCAAATGCGGCGGATGAGAAAATTGTGAAGATTGAAGACTGAAGACTTGAGAGAAGACTAGGTTTAATTCTTAATTTCGGTCAAAATTCAGTCAATATTGTGAAAAATTTAAAAACTGCGGTTCACGGTTCAATCCGAATTTAACGGTTTGAACGGTTTTTTATGGTTTTGACCGGTTCTAGGACAAAATCAATACAAGCTATGAACCGGACCGGACACATGGCCGGTTCATGGTTCGACCAGTCGAACCGGCCGGTCCGGTCCGGTTTTGAAAACATTTCTGGACTATAGCTGCTTCTCTGAACAGAGTTAGGGTTTTGCGCAGCCTCACTCAGGTTGTTGCCCGGCTGGTGGAGGTGGCGTCTATTAAAGTTAGGGCTCCTTGAGCCGCCTTCCACGAATTGAGCAAATCAGGGTCTTAAAAGGATTATCTGAATTTTAGAATACCAAATAACTCCCAAAGCAGAGGAGGAAAAAAAGTGCAAGACACTTAAATCAATAGATTTTATGTAGTCTGCGATCCTATTTGATACAATAGGAAATACACATTGTTTTTCCAATCCGCACAACCATTATTTAATGTTCAACCAATGTAAGGCTCCTAATAGTACATAGAAATTAACTCCTAGTACCATATTGGATTACCAATCAGTAATATATGATAAAGATGTTCACCGGGATGACCATTTAGAATGGAGGTCGGTGATCATCTCCACTGGCACACACAACAGGTTTCTAAATATCAGAACAAATGTATCCAGCTAGTCCAATCTTTGAATTTACAAAACTACAGCATACAACTTTGATACTCCACAAAAGAAGAGAAGTCTCAACACTATTATTAAGCACACTTGACATCTCTTTAGCTCAGGAAATTTTTTGATGCAGGATCCAGCACACATGCAAGCAAAATTTTATATTCTGCCTGGTTTGGGACAAATCTGATTAGACCAAAAAATTTTTGAATTATTTAAATTTCACATTAATAGTTGTCCAGTTGGGAAGACGGAGGAGCCAAGGAGTAATCATTTGAAATTCTTTGTTTTTGCAACCTTAAATTTAAATTAGGTTTTAAATAGGAAACTTTATGTTATCATCTTAACAACTAACATACAAACCTTAAGAGAGGCCACAAAAGATTCATAATGATTTAAAAATTGTGAACTACCTTAGAGGCCAGATAATTTCCTTGCATATGAAATTTCACCTTTAAGTCGATCTCTTTATTCCTGTTGAGACTTTTGGGATAATCAAAGCACTTCAACCAAATGTATAGCCTACAAATCTGATGCACGAGACATGAACGCAAATATTAAGAGCTACAATAAGTTTGAAAAATACTGCTGTCTTATGAAGTGTCGAGTAGTTTAATTGAACATGCAAAAAGTAAGGAAAGTTTCTTTATTAAAAAAAGGGCATGTCATTAAACATCCTATGCATTTTTTATATCTTTTGAGAGGTTAATAGCAAAATGAATCTTCCATAGTAAGGAAAGCTGAAAACAAAAGTGAAGCCATACAAAAATACTAAGGTGCCATTTTGTTAGTGTAGAGAGAAAATTGTTGAAAAAACTTAATTAGTGTCACAAATCCCACTCAAACCTCCCAAATATAGATAAAAATCATAGAACAACAAAGAAGCATGCCAAGAACCATAGAGTACCAGGAGCTAGTAATTGCTCTTAAAAAATAATTGATCCTCTAAAATATTTCAAACAGTAATATCATCAACATAACATTCTTACTTATCCCCTTTGGCAGTTGCTCATTGTCAAGATCAAATGTAAAGGTCTTTCTTTTGAAGAATATCTATCAGTTAAAGTTGAGGCCATGCATTTCCTTAGATATGAATGGAGGCATAAACTTTTGATAGCCACCAACAAACATCAACATTTTTGTCTTTTGTTCAAGCAACCTCACAATTCAATGCATGTTTGATGCTAGAAAAGTTCTACATCATTATGAAATAAAGCCAATGAAAGCAGGAAAAAATTAAAAATGCCCAAAGACATACCAAGATATTCAAAGCAAAGGAACCATTTTGCAGCTAGACAGATGGAAGATGAGCCTGAAAACTGAGTACTTGATTAGCTGCTATTCAGAACCTCTACAAATACAGAAGCAATAGTGCAAGTAGTTAATATCACTCCACACTTATAACTACAACTGCTACTATTATTTCAGCTAGAGAACTAAAGAAGGAATTTTGTTTGTCCCTCCAAGAATAAGATCAATCAAGTGGATTTGCGTATATCCCACAACTGTGAAGACATAGGTCAGAGGCGGCATATCCATCCTATCATACGAGTCAATAGCTCCAAGAAGCACATCAGAATCTCACAATCATTGGCGCTCTTTAACAATGATGCATAGGGCACGAAAACTATATATATATGTGGAATAACTAAAACTTTAAGCTTGGCAGTGAGGCGTTTTCATAGTAAAATGCATTGCTAGTTCGCCCATGAATAGATTAACTAATTAGTAGTGCTAATTAAAAAGCACCTTGTCAATGTAAAACCCCTGGTAGAGCGCGTGGTTTTTACACTGTTTTTTTCGAAAAATCCCAATAAATCTTCATCTTTCTCCATGTTTCTATAATTATTTGCACAAAACTTATTGTATCTTTGGCGCAAATTAAAGCATCACAGGAACAAAAAAATTTTGTCCAAAAATGACATATTAGCAAAGTCTGATATCAGAGCAAACTTTTTTGTTGTTCAAAATCCAAGGAACACAAATTTATCCATTGATTAGCAAATTAAAGACTAAAAGAAACTCAAAACCTGGCAGCAACTTCTGAGGATTTGCAGTGAAGTTCATTACTTGGACCGTGTACACTGAGCAAAAAGGAACACCAAAATAATTCTGACAATTGTAGCGGGAAGCAAAGAGACCAAAAGCAGGGAAAATAGAGACAATGGAAGACATGAGACTAACCAGAATCATCTTCTTGGACTCGGAAACAGTCTGCAATCACAAAAAAATAGGTCAAGTTCAGATAAGGAGAAAACAACATGAACAAAAAATTTAATGAAAGAAAAATCTCAAAATGTTTAGATTCAAAACCTAAAGTGATTTCAGATTTGTCTCTCCTACTTCCTCATCACATAGATAGATAGAAGAAGAGGAGGATTTTGACCCAAAAAAATAAAGACAAGAGAGAAGAAGAGGAGAGAACCTTCGAGCAATTCTTTTTTCTCCGTTACCGTTTGTTCTCGGCTAGATAGGGAGATAAAAATGATGAAGCAGCCGTCCGGTTCGAATGTCCCTTTGATGGTCAGTTCAGTTGGCTAGGTGTTGGGTCCAGGAGTGGGGTGGGTGTTGGGTCCAAGAGGTCAGTTTTGGACTCCTTCATGGACCATTTAAACTCGTTCAATTATGGTGGTTTCATTCCCAGTTCCCACCTCAAAAAATGGGTTCAATCTGAATTTGAATAGATGGAATTGATTGCATGTTACAGCCTCAAAAAATTTGCTCTCCTCTTTCGTTGGATGATGCTATGGTAGTTTTATTCCCAGTTCCCACCTGTGACTATGATTATCGATTCGGTTTCTTCTTCTTAGTTAATGCATCTGTACCCTGATTCAAGAATCAGAATTGGTCTTCCTCATTCGAAATCAGGTAGAGATCATATCAAGCATTTTAGAATGCAGTAGATTGCTCGAAAAAAGGGGTAGAAAGAAACCTGTTAAAAAAGGTACAGCAGATTGAGAATCATAGGGCTTGATCACAATATTGAACATGCTAAACTTCCAAAATCACAAACTCGAAAATAATTCTATTTCAATTGATATCCATAAAAATACACTCAACAGACAATAAAACCAATTCTCTCCATCAAGCTACAATACATATATATAGGCCAATAGGAAAATGACAAAAATCTTAGGGAAAAAAAAGAAAAGGAATCAAAATTCCCTCTCCGGGAGATTTTCAAGCGACGGCAACCGGCTGTCGCTTGGGAGGTTCGATATTCTTATTCTTGCGATTGGAATCGGCGAAATCTTCCGTATTATAGATGACGGTGATGTAAAGAGAACAGCTAGGGCACCGAGCGATCTCTTCGCCCAGACGGAGTTCTTCCCTGGTGATCTGGAAGAGGTCTCCGCAGGGGCAGGGATACGTGAAGGCCTGGAGCTCCTCGTTCCATTCCATGTCCTCAATCTCTACGTCGTCGTACGACATCTGATCTCTCGCTGTTTTCAAGTCCTGGACTATAGCTGCTTCTTTGAACAGAGTTAGGGTTTTGGGCAGCCTCGGTCAGGGGGTTGCCCGGCTGGCGGAGGTGGCGTCTATTAAAGTTAGGGCTCCTTGAGCCGCCTTCCACGAGTGCAAGACGACAGCGTACGTTGCCAAACCATTTCATTATTATTATATTATAATCGTTATAAACACTGGGAATGTTAACGTGGTTGGTTTCAAAAGTTGAGCACCCAAAAAAATTTTTTATTTTGCTGGATTTAAAAAAAGAAGAAAAGAAAATTTTAGCCAAAAATAAAAACTTAGGGACTAATTGGCTAAATTTATTTTACTGAAAAAAGTTGATGGACTCCGTTTGATAAAACTGAATCTGAATTCTGAATTCTGAATTCTGAATACTGAAACAATTAATTTGCTGAATATTAAGCACTGAAAAAAGATATATGAATATCTGAATCTTAATGCTGAACATATTTATACTGTTTGATAAACATTTATAACTTAATGCTTAATAAGCTAAATTGTACAATTTTGCCCTTCTATCTTTTAATCCAAAAAGGAAATGGAACCTATGATTTAATTAGCTTAAAATTGTTAGATATGAAAATGACAATATTTATTTTTAAATCAAAGTAATATAAAAGAATAAATATATTATGAAAAAGTCCAAATATCGGTGCAAATATTTTTTTAAATCAGAGTTTGATAAGAAAAGTCCAAATATAAGTAAAAGGAAGCTGCAATAAACAAGTTTTAAATTCATACCAAATTATTTAGAAATTTAATTACTTCAATGGAAAAATGTTGAAGCAAAACAACAAATAATCAATGTCACTTACCTTGGAAATAATGAATTTGAGATCAGTGAGTACGGTAGCAATAAAAAAAATTGGAGGAAAAAAATGACAAAATTATGAAAGAGTAGAAAGATGGAAAAAAAAATAAGGAGTAGACAGATGTGAGGAGCATGGAGAAATTGTAAAAAAGTCATTAAATAGGGAAAAAATAGAAGTAGAAAGCCATTAGACAGAGAATGGCATGTTGTTTAATTAGATAAGGATTTTGGATAGAAAATATTAGGTTGTTTAATTAGATAAGGATTTTGAATGTAATTAACAAACAATGATAGATTTGGTAGATAAAATAAAGTAATTGAAGTAAAATCTCTTGATTCTTATCAAATTAAGCATTCAGTTACGATTCTTGTGCTGAAAAAAATACATACAAATTCAGCACCACTTAATAAGTTCAGCAGAAAAATTTTTATTTATCAAACACCCAAAACATCTGAATGTCTGAATGAATTCAGTTTCAGCACTTTTTTATGTTATCAAACAGACACTAAATATGGGATTTTGCCCTAATGCAATGTATAGAAGTTAAAAATGAAAATAAATAAATAAGGACTATATTTTTATGTACTTTTTTTTTATATTTTTGCAGTTATGGATATTATATATTAGTAGAATGTATCTCATTATAAGAAAAAACAATAATAATAATTAATAAGAAACGACTTTTTGTACTAATTCCTCCCAGACGAAGATAAGCCAACTTCCAGCCTTCCACCCAATTTAGCATGAACAGACTTCAAATGGTCAGTAGCCGAAAACAATGCCTACAGAAACTGCCGACTTTTAGTTTTAAAATCACCCAGCAAATTGGCCTCAACTCCATCCCACTTTCACATGCTTCAATTCTCAAAGAACTCAAAGAATCAAAGCCCCTCCAACAAGTCCATGCCTGCATAATTACCTCTGGCCTTTCTAGCAACATTTTTCTTTGCAACAGATTAATGAACTCGTATGCTTCTTGCGGACTTATAGATTGTGCACAGGACATATTTTCTGGAACTAAAAATAGGAATTTGGTTTCTTGGACAATTTTAATATCTGGGTTCACAAGAAATGATCTTCTCATTGACGCAATTAAGGCCTTCCATGAGATGATTTTGAATTATGTGAGGCCTAATGCAACTACAATTTCGAGTATTTTGCCCGCATTTGCAAAACTGGGGCTGACACGGATGGGCAAATCAGTCCATGGTTATTGGATTCGGCAGAGCTGTGGAAGGAATGTGTTTGTCGAAACAGCTTTGGTTGATATGTATATGAAAATCCGGTGCATGAATTTTGCTAGACATATATTTGACAATATGCCTGAAAGAAATCTTGTTTCATGGAATTCTGTGATTTTGGGTTACTCCGATAATGGGTCTGGTGAAGAGGCATTTAACCTTTTTAACTGTATGAGAAGGAAAGGATATTCCATTGATGTGTTTACCATAATGAGCTTGATTTCAGCTTCTTTAGGTGTAGGGGATTTGAGTTTAGCAAGGGTGGTCCATGCCTTGACAATTAGAATCCGGTATGTCTGTGATCGACTTGTCATGAGTGCCTTAATGGATTTATATATAAAGACTGATGGTGTTGATGATGCTTATTGTATTTTTAATGAGATTTCAAAGAAGGATATAGTTGTTTGGACTGTAATGTTATCAGGGTTTTTGAGGAAAGGAAAATGGAACAGGAGTATAGAACATTTCAACGAGATGATCGCAGCAGAAAAATCAGCTTTAGATGCTGTTTCTTTGGTAAGCATCTTAGCAGGCTGCAGCAGCTCTGGAGCTCTTCAACAGGGTAGGCGGATACATGCAATGGTGATAAAAATTGGTTATCAAAGCGATATCTTTGTCGGATCAGCTGTCATAAACATGTATGCTAATTGTGCAGAAATTGGTGATGCAGAATGGTATTTTGGTTCTATGAAAGAGAAGGATGCGGCATGCTGGAATGCACTAATTTCTGGTTATAGCATGAATGGGTACGGTAATGACGCTATTGATCTCTTTTTGAAGATGAAGGGTTCTGGCATAAACCCTGATGAGTGGACGTTATTATCAGTCTTGTGTGCATGCAGTCACGCAGGGATGGTTGATCAAGGACTCCATATTTTTCACCATATGGCCGAGTTTTGGAACATAGTTCCCAATTCAAAGCACTATGCTTGTGTTATTGATCTTCTTGGCCGTGCGGGACTGTTAGATGATGCTTACCGAATGATTTGCAATATGCATCTGCCCCCGACTGTTGATGTTTATGGTGCCATGCTTAGTGCTTGTAGAGTTCATAGAAACATGGATATGGGAGTTGAGATAGCGCAGAAGCTCTCTGCGCTGAAGCCTAGTGATGTGGGGCACCATATATTGCTCTCCAACATGTACGCGTTGGCTGGAAATTTGGAGGCTGTAAAGCTGACAAGGACATCATTACGATTGACAAGACTAAAGAAGTATCCAGGTTTTAGTTCAATTGAGATCGATGGACAAATATACACATTTATGGCAAGTCAGAAAGATCATCCTCAATACCAGCATATCAGTGGGTTCCTGAAGGGCATAATCTTGAAAATTAAATCAGAAGGTTATGTTCCAGACAAAGAATGTGTACTTCAGGAGGTTTCGGATGATATGAGGGAGGATATTCTGTATCACCACAGTGAGAAGTTGGCCATTGTTCTTGGACTGTTGAAAACCAAACAAGGAACGGTCATACGGATAACAAAAAATCTTCGCACTTGCAATGATTGTCACTCCGCAAGCAAGATTATCTCCAAAGTTTTTGGAAGAGCTCTAATCATAAAAGATGCCAATCGGTTCCATGTTTTTGAAGAAGGAATCTGTTCATGCAAAGACTATTGGTGAGCCACCTGGCGGAGAAATAACATTGGGTTTGTTTGGATAGGGTATTATTTGAAATATTATTTGGAATAATTACTGTAGCACTTTTTGTGATGTGATGTATGTGAGATAAAAAAGTAATTGGAAAGATAAAAAGTTGTATTGAAAATTGTAATGGTGATGTAAATCACGCGTTTTTGACTGTCAAATTCCTTTGATTCAAACATCAATCTATCAAAGAAGTCCTCTCGTGTGGAATCTCTTGTATTATAAGGACTCTGAAGTTTAAGAACAAAATATTAGTGGTCAGCGGAGGAAAGGTTACGGTAAGGAGAAATTACTGAAATTGATTGAGAATGAGTTCCATTAGTCAAAAATAAATAATTAATATATAAAAACCTAGAAACAGCTAACTGACTAAAAGAAGGTTATTCTCGGCTTTTCCGGAGAGAGTTTGGAACATGAACGAGAAGCAAAAGAATTTTTGGCTATATTTGAATTGAGGGATTCAACAAACGATTTAAAAAGAATCACTAAAAATTTTCTAATTATTTGGATTGTTTGGGAGGTATTTGAATTTATAATTAACTGATGATTTAAAAGCGTTCGAAACATGAAAATAATTGATGAATTACACATGCAAATGCCTCTTAAATAATCTAAACAGTTAAATTGATTTGAGAGGATTTCAAATTCCTCAATCCAAGAGAAGCCTTTGCGCGCGCGCGTGTCTGTGTGTGTGTGTGTGTGTTTTTTTTTGGGGGTAAGCGAAGCCTTTGTGCTTGTTTCTTCAATGTTCATCGCATTTCTCTTATTTTTCTCCCTGAGAGTAATGTTCAAGAATTGGCCGAGATTTCTCCAAGAGTCGGTGAAGTAGTAAAGGACTTTTTATGGCTGCTAACGCAGAGAACCGTTAGTGAGAAATTTCGCATCGACTACATTGCCACCAACTTCATTTCTGAACCAGTTAATACGCTAAATTTACTAGATAAAACTATTAGGATCTGACAGAAGCTAGTTAACTTGAAACCCAACATAGGCTTTCCTTTAGCATTCTGCACGAAATTGACAATCTTTCAAGCATGAGTTTGGTTTGATGGACATAGGTTACTGCCAGCCAATGAAATCAACAAGTGAGACTCCAAATGAAACTGGACTACATCAATTAGATACTAACAATACAGAGAACAAAATTGTGATGGAAGAACAGGTGTATTGGCAGAGTAAATAAAAACTTTGAGGGAAAGTAAAACAAGAAAGCTCAGAGTGCTAATATCATGTTTTCAGCAAATCTGATTACAAGCAAAATGCCTAAAGAATGAGCTCATTGGCTCTGCACATTGTTCTAACTTCCTTCTAGCTAGACTAATAAGAAAGCTACAAATATTCCAATGAATTGCTGCTATATATCCACTAGCACATGAGCTCAGCTGAGAGGGCATGGTTGATCAACTGAAGTTCTCTGATCTGCAGTAGCTTGAACGTGCAACTCCACCACTTCAGCTACTTCCAACAACACTAAACCAACTCCTTATTCCAGCTAGCCATACTTCTACTTAAGACAAAAATGTTAAGCGATAAAATCGAGCATCATGACAGTTACTTGAAAGATATATCCAAGTGCATGAATCTTGCACATACCAAAGTTGCTTGTTTCTAATCATCAGAAATATGGACCTGGAGCACCTTTTCACCAATAAGTTCAAATATGCAGACATTGCCAATCTTCAGCTTATTATCGCGCACAAATCTGGTCCATCCTCCCACAAAAACAAAGTTTCCGCCGTTAATTGTATAATTCACTTCCCATTCTTTACCTTCTATATTTTTCAGCGTGATTTTTGTCTTGGCCTTTTGGAAGTGTTTCTCTGCAAATGACTTGGGTATGATCTGCACAAAAGATGCATCCAAGTAAACATTAATCCGTTCAACTTTGGAAGGACAAAACAATTAGTACATTGGAGACATAATTGCTGCAACCACTGGATGATCTCAAGAATCGCCTGAATTTTGTCCAGATATGCCATTCAACCATTCAAATTCTCTATTACCTCAAACCATAAAAACAATCTTACCATTAAAAAAGGAGGATTAACGTTGTAACGTTTGATGTTTGTCTCAAAAAAAGGATGCTGAGAGCAGAATTCCTGCAATGTAGCACCTTCTTCTCTACTCTGACTCTTCTCTCTTGGTTGAACATGGGTAGTGTGCTGATCCAAGTTTTTGGTACCTGAGTTTGCAACTTCTTGATTTGTTCTCTCCACTCCACTTTTATCAAAAATTTGAACAGTGAAGCACCTATCTCCATGGTCATAATGGAAGAGGAGAAAATCATGTTCCTGCAGCAAGTTATCTTCCACAAATTTCTGCCAATCATCTCCCAGAAAGACATCACCATCGTCAGTCTTGACTACTTTAACAGACCAACAGCTTCCATATGAAGTCTCGAGGATTATTCTTTTAGGTATCCCTATTAGAACATCCCTTACAAATTGCGGAGGAATTTTCTGCAACAGATCGTGATATGGAACAAGAAAACTTGGTTGGAATTTTTTTTATCATTAATCAATTAGCCAATGACTAACAAGAACTGCAAAGAATAAGACATGATTTGTCATATGAATGCATCTATGAAAAAAATTACCAGTCTATTCTCTACAAGTTGATTAAAAATCTTGAAGAAGGCAGGCCTCTGGTCCAATATGATCTCATCCTTATCTTTCCCCAGGCTCTTGTTCACCATTTTCTCAAGTATAAGTTTCACGACTTTTTCGTTCAATAATCTTGTCTATTCAGTAAAATCTCCAGCCCTGGAATCAACAGCTAAGAACCATTACTACGTTGCCAACGTGGTTGGTGAAAAAGCAATTAGATGCAGACTAGAAGATGAACACCGAGCTTTTGCATGGAAAGAAATTAAACTAATGTCCAAAATTAATTGCTATAGATGTATTTTATGATTCAATTTTTTTTATATAACCAATGAAATCAAGCAATTATAACTGAATACACAAAATAGATAGGGCATCGACATTTATTATTTTAGTTTAAAAAATGTCATCAATACTTGCATTAAAAATTTTGCAGTTAAGTCACAAGCACCTTGATGCATGTCATTACCAAGTTTGAATTTATCAAAAAGCGCATAATATTTCTTGTCTACAATAAGTGCAATTACCATGCTGTAAAGTTCTGGTTAAAGCAAGTCCTGTGTATTTCTTTCTCAGTCCAAGTACTGTTTTTGTTTTAGCCGAGTATGTTTTCATGCATTTGTAATGCATGTTCAACAGAACCTTTACCTTGTACAAAAATTAAAAGAAATTAACATACAAACAACAATGAATACAAAATTCATGGCAAAATCTTCTATTTCCTTATTCATCATGAAAGACAATATGAAATTTTGAGGCATACGAAAATAGCAGCATATATAACCAATATACCTCGAGATGCAAACCTATGATATATTAGTAAGATAAGTTTTAATAGTTTGTTGCGTGCTTCTCTGAAGTAATACAAGAACTAAAGAAGTTGATCAAAAACTATTTTTAACCACAAATACCAAGTAAAAAGAAATTTTAGAATACCAAATAACTCCCAAAGCAGAGGAGGAAAAAAGTGCAGGACACTTAAATCAACAGATTTTATGTAGTCTGCGATCCTTTTTTTCTTTTTTTGACAAAACGATAGGATAGTCTGCGATCCTAGTTGATACAATAGGAACTACACATCGTTATTCCAATCCGCACAACCATTATTCTATGTTCAACTAATGTAAGGCTCCTAATAGTACATAGAAATTAACTCCTAGTACTATATTGGATTACCAATCAGTAATAGATGATAAAGAAAACCACCGAGATGACCATTTAATGTAATCATAAAACAAGTAGGTCGGTGATCATCTCTACTGGTACACACAACAGGTTTCTAAATATCAGAACAAATGCATCCAGCTAGTCCAATCTTTGAATTTACAAAACTACAGCATACAACTTTGATATTCCACAAAAGAAGAGAAGTCTCAACACTATTATTAAGCACACTGGACATCTCTTTAGCTCAGGAAATTTTTTGATGCAGGATCCAGCACACGCACAAGCAAAATTTTATATTCTACCTGGTTTGGGACAAATCTGATTAGACCAAAAAATTTTTGAATTATTTAAATTTTACGTTAATAGTTGTCCAGTTGGGAAGAGGGAGGAGCCAAGGAGTAATCATTTGAAATTCTTTGTTTTTGCAACCTTAAATTTAAGTTAGGTTTTAAATAGGAAACTTTATGTTATCATCTTAACAAGTAACATACAAACCTTAAGAGAGGCTATAAAAGAATCATAATGATTTAAAAATTGTGAACTACCTCAGAGGCCAGATAGATTCCTTGCATATGAAATTTCACCTTTAAGTCGATCTCTTTATTCCTGTTGAGACTTTTGGGATAATCAAAGCACTTCAACCAAATGTATAGCCCACAAATCTGATCCAAGAGACATGAAAACAAATATTAAGAGCCACAATAAGTTTGAAAATTATTGCTGTCTTATGAAGTGTCGAGTAGTTTCATTGAACATGCAAAAAGTTCAAAGCAGAAAAATTGAGAAATAAAAAGCAGACATAGCAACCACCCTGGAAGTATGTACATCTCTATACTCAACATGCAATACTGCTTCTGGCTGTAAGGACGGCACATAAAAGAAGCTTGTACAGCATAGAGTGTAAAAATTATTACGTGGAGAATTAAATCAGCATTTGATTTCTCTCTTTGTCATGTAAAAAAAAAAATGGAAAAGAATAAGCCGACTCCATCTGGAAAAAAATGATCCATGTAAAATAATAATTAAAACATACATGGAAATTAGAAGAAGATAACTTTCTTTATTAAAAAAAAAGGCATGTAAATAAACATCCTATGCATTTTTTAGATCTTCGAGAGGTTTTTAGTAAAATAATCTTCCATAGTAAGGAAAGTTGAAAACAAAAGTGAAGCCATACAAAAATACTAAGGAACTGTTTTTTTAGTGTAGAGAGAAAAATGTTGAAAAAATTTACTGTCACAAATCCCACTCAAACCTCCCAAATATAGATAAAAATCATTGAACAACAAAGAAGCATGCCAAAAACCATAGAGTACCAGGAGTTAGTAATTGCTCTTAAAAAATAATTGATCCTCTAAAATATTTCAAACAGTAATATCATCAACTTAACATTCTTACTTATCCCCTTTGGCAGTCGCTCATTGTCCATATCAATGTAAAGGTATCTCTTTTGAAGAATATCTATCAGTTAAAGTTGAGGCCATGCATTTCCTTAGATATGAATGGAGGCATAAACTTTTGATAGCCACCAACAAACATCAACATTTTTTGTCTTTTGTTCAAGCAACCTCACAATTCAATGCATGTTTGATGCTAGAAAAGTTCTACACCGTTATGAAATAAAGCCAATGAAAGCAGGAAAAAATTAAAAATGCCCAAAGACATACCAAGATATTCAAAGCAAAGGAACCATTTTGCAGCTAGACAGATGGAAGATGAGCCTGAAAACTGAATACTTGATTAGCTGCTATTCAGAGCCTCGACAAACACAGAAGCAATAGTGCAAGTAGTTAATATCACTCCACACTTATAACTGCAACTACTACTATTACTTCAGCTAGAGAACTAAAGAAGGAATTTTGTTTGTCCCTCCAAGAATAAGATCAATCAAGTGGATTTGCGTATATCCCACAACTGTGAAGACATAGGTCAGAGGCGGCATATCCATCCTATCATACGAGTCAATAGCTCCAAGAAGCACATCAGAATCTCACAATCATTGGCGCTCTTTAACAATGATGCATAGGGCACGAAAACAAAAAAATATGGAATAACTAAAACATTAAGCTTGGCAGTGAGGCGTTTTCATAGTAAAATGCATTGCTAGTTCGCCCATAAATAGAATAACTAATTAGTAGCGCTAATTAAAAAGCACCTTGTCAATGTAAAAGCCCTGGTAGAGTGCTTGGTTTTTACACTTTTTTTTTTTCAGAAAAACCCCAATAAATCTTCATCTTTCTCCATGTTTCTATAATTATTTGCACAAAACTTATTGTATCTTTGGAGCAAATTAAAGAATCACAGGAACAAACAAAATTTGGCCAAAAATGACAAATTAGCAAAGTCTGATATCAAAGCAAACCTTTTTTTGTTGTTCGTAATCTAAGCAACACAAATGTATCCATTGATTAGCAAATTAAATTAAAGACTAAAAGAAACTCATAACCTGGCAGCAACTTCTGAGGATTTGCAGTGAAGTTCATTACTTGGACCGTGTACAATGAGCAAAAAAGAACAACAAAATAATTCTGACAAATGTAGCGGGAAGCGAAGAAAGACTAACCAGAATCATCTTCTTGGACTCGGAAACACTCTGCAATCACAAAAAATAGGTCAAAAGTTCAGATAAGGAGAAAACAACATGAACAGAAAATTTAATGAAAGAAAAATCTCAAAATGTTCAGATTCAAAACCTAAAAGGATTTCAGATTTGTCTCTCCTACTTGCTCATCACATAGACAGACAGAAGAAGAGGAGGATTTTGACCCCAAAAAAAAATGACGAGAGAGAATTCTTTCTTCCCCTTACCGTTTGTTCTCGGCTGTCCAGTTCCAATGTCCCTTTGATGGCATTACGAATCCAGGGGCGTACGCCCACAAGATATGGTCGGTTGGCGTTGGTGGGTTGTTTAGCCAAGATTTTGGCTAAACCACATCAACAAGTGCTACTGAGCAAACCTCCAAAAGAACGGTGCAAAGTGCACCAAAAAAATTTCAAAAAAGGGCGGGGGTTGGGGTGTTGGGTCCAAGAGGTCGGTTTTGGACTCGTTCATGGACCATCTCAGAAGTACGAGTGAGACCACGTGTTTCTGAGGTGGTCCGAATTCATTTTAAAAGAAAAAAAAAATGAAAAGTCTTGCCTAACAAATTTGCGATGCGAATTAAAATTGAATCTATAATACCTTCAATTTAGTCCATACTACCTAATTTCTAGAAACAACATGGAGTAGAAGAACTATGATTTCTGATCCAATAAGACTCAACTATCTATATTCTCAAAAAAAAAAAAAAAAAAAAGCTCAACTATCTTTTTTATTTTGAAATGGAAAAAAAGAAAAATTCGACAATCTAATTGTGTCAATTGATACTTAAACTCCTGAAATATTAACGCCTAATGCTAATTTCTTTTCTATTTTCGTTGTAACTAGTTGAAATGAGACCTGACACTTGCGTGTTAAGTTGCTCAAATTAATAAGATTTTGTATTACATTGTGTTTTTCTTTTAGATTGGATATAAGAAAAAGCAGTTTTTTTTTTTTTAATGAACTATTGTATTTTTACATGCATATACAATGAGGGTCTTGTTTTGCTCAATTTGGGACTAGGCTGGTCTATGTGCAACTATTTGGTCAACTAATATCTTAAGTGTTGTGCCTAAAAAAAAAAAAAAAGGTCACAAGCACAACAGTGTATCATCTCGAAAGAAAAATATATTCAGCAACAAAATAGTGGTAGTAAATAATACTTTATCATAAAATTCTAGACATTCACTTCAAATCTTCTAATCCAAAATTATTTTCTATCCATATGTTCCGTATTTATGCAGTTATCACGTGTATTGATGCATTGATAACAAACTCGATTAACAAGTCAAACGTTTCTTTGAATTATCAATGTATCAATACACGTGATAACTATATATGAACGGGACAGACGAGGTTGAAGATAATTTCGGAACAGAGGATTTCAAGTGCTAGACATCAAGCTGACCCCTAATTTCTAATTCACAAGCTGCCCACATATCATACATTTCACGTTAGTCAATACCCTTGAACCAAGGAAGTCCCTGGACAAATACTCAGCACGTCAACGCGATAAAGAAAGTTTTGAAAAAAAAAAATGAAAGCAACAAAAAATGACTTCAAACACACTTTAACTTGATTAGCCCACCAGTACCTAGCCTATTCTAAATATCACGTAGAAAGCTACAGAAAAATTTAGATTAAGAACAAAACACAATAAGCAGCATTTAGAGCCTTCTGCACAGTTAAATGCCAAGCACCATTATATAGGGAAAAAAGGAAAAAAAAAAAAAATCAAAGCAAAACCATAAAGCCAGTTAGATCAATAGATGGAGCAACTACTAACAGATAAAACAAAGGGTTAATTATAAAAAGTCCCTAAGGTTTAATCCATTTTGCACTTTACCTCTTAATGTTTTTTTTTTCTCACTTTATCTCCTAAACCGTTAGTCAACTCTAACATTGCGTAACAGAAATGTCAAAAAGACATTGATACCCCTAAGCGCTATTTTCAATAAATTCCCTTGATGTATAGCTATTTTGTACTTTCTTTGCTAATATCATTTTTCTCTTAACTTGTTTATTCATCCCTAAAACTATTAATCAATTCTAATATTTTGTACCACTCAACATACATTTTTTAGATGCAATAAAAAAAAATTTAGCAATTCAAATAAATTTTAATAGCATCTAAGCATGGTATATTACAAGAACAACTTTGAAAATTTGGACTCCAAATCAATCATGTTTCTCTTTTCTAGTGCTATCAATAAAAAAAATGTATACTTCCATAGAAGAGAATACAGTTATTAAAAGAAAAGTTTAGCCATATGCACATTGCTAAAGAGGAACTAACAACATCCTGATCATTTTTCGACTTTTTAAAATATTTTTCATATTTTAATTTTTTAATAATAGTTTTTGTTTGTTCTTTCCCACTATTGAATCAAATTAGCAAGATATTCTCCTCAATCTAAAAAAAATGTAATTATGAAAGGAAATTTAATTAGGACCGTATATATAATATTATTTTTTATTATTATGGTAGGAATATTGATTTTTTAGATATTAATTGTTCTGGGTGTTATCAAATGTTGAAGTTCATTAATAATTTTGGTAATAAATAAGCAAGTTGATAAAAAAAATGATTTTAGGAGTAAAGCGCAAAACAAGCTATACTTTAAGGGGATTTGACATAATAACTTCCATATATAAATAGGTTGTATTCCCCGTCTCCCCTAATCCCAACAAAAAATAGCGAGTCTCAACCTACATAAAAGAAATGCTCCACAAAAAATTGGACGTTCTCCAATCAGAGAAAATTATCTCTGTTTACTTGTCAACTTTTGCAATTCCTACATCTTCAATCTCCATGTATAAGCACAACCAATCCATCATCACTCAACAGTAGAAAAAGAATCCTTTTTTCTATGGGATCCAATCACAGAAGTTTTAATAGTCAAACACCATTTTATGAAAGTAAATTCAAGATAGATCCAGGCCTAACTTCTGTCAAAAGCTAAATCACAACCAATCCATTTTGCCACCCTTGCATCACTAACCCATAAGCAGAAAAATCCATGTTAATTAGCATACAAAACAGCTAGAAATCAACAAAGATGAATGAAAAACCCAGCTGGAGAACCGCTTTTCCTGATAAGATTTGAGCACTTAGCATTATGATTCATCCTGACCCGACCTTGATTCATTTCTCCACCCCAAGTGGGACAGTATAAGAAGATCCAACAACAGTACCTCCACCTACACAAACGCTGGCTTGATAATGATACCTTACAGAAACCATAGTACCCCTGCTTCTGTTACTACTGCAAAACCCACTTTCATTTCCATTTTGCTGCACTCTAGATGGATAAATGATGAGACAAATACACATGCATTCTTTTTGTCATGATGATATCGTAGTTATAACAGAGTTATAAAGAAGATTACTTTTTCTTTCATCGAAATTAAACTAATTAAGTCAAATAAGTACTTTCCAGAATTATAACTTCCAACACTGGACAGCCTAATAAATAGCCAATTCACAAAGATACCGCATCAACTCAAGATACCAACAACAAGAATTTAATTTTTTTTTCCTTCCCATGTTTATTATTCTTCAATACAAAGGGAAAAAAAAGTGTCTACTCATCCATTGAAAGAAAATTTTCCACCAATCCAGAAATAAAACATTCAAAATCCAATTTGATAATAAGTTTTTTCCCGGTTTCTCTCTATTTTCTTGATAGGCCAAAAAAAAGGTGTCTCAAGTTCTCAAAATTACCAAAAAAAAAATGTCAGAATTACTTGCACAAATATTTGATAGTTCTTTGTAATTCACTTCAACTCAAAATCTTTTATCTTAGCTGTAAAAAACCAAAAGAATAAATTCTCGAAATTACTTATACAAAAATCCCATAGTTCTCGACAATTTATTTCAACTCAAATCTTCTATCACAAAAAAGAAACAAGAACTTAAAATGTAATTAAAAAAACTAAGTTAAAGTGAAATTGTAAGATTCTTGAAAAATGCATGATTTTATAATTATCAGATTTGATAATCAAATTTTCCTGGTTTTGATAGACCAAAAAAAGGGTATCTCAAGTTCTCAATTTTCTTTAAAAAAAAAGAAGTCAGATTTACCTGCACAAATATCCGATATTCTCTATAATTCACTTCAACTCAAAATCTTTCATCTTCGCTGAAAAAAACCAAAAAAATAATTCTCAAAATTACTTATACAAAAATTCCATAGTTCTCGACGATTTATTTCAACCCAAATCTTTTATCTCAAAAAAGAAACAAGAACCTAAAATGTATAAAAAGAATAAATAAATTTAAGTGACCTTGCAAGATTTTAAAAAAATGCACGAGCCTATTTGGCAAAGAAGTTTTTTTAACAACTTTGGCTCTATTTGGTTTCCCTATTTCTTGAATAACAAGGTTTTCAAATACAATGTTACAATAATACACATACAAAAATAACTCAAAAAATATCACATCCATATAATATATCAAAACCAACTCCAAATATATAAAAAAATTTAAAAATAAAATTTACACCATCTTTTTCTTCCTTCTATCACCACTACTATCCCCACCCGCCACCACCACCATTCTCTTCTTACTCCTCCCTTTCCCCCTGAGTTGGCCCTGACCAAATCAAGGCCTCTGGTCGCGACCATTTGGTCGTGTCAGATCAGGGGAGAAATGAGGGCGTAGGGTGTGGCGAGGAAGGGAAAGAGAGAAGAAAAAAGGAAGGAGAAGAGAAAAGAGAAGGAAGATGAGAGGAAGAAGAAGGAGGGAGGAGAGAGAGGGGTGGTGGCAGTGGTGGTGGTGAGTGGAAGAGGGGGTGGTGGCGATTGTAAGTGATAGTGTGAATTTTTTAAAATATCCAAAGTTTTTAAATACAATAACCTTAAAATTTTTGAAATACACACTTTAAAATATCTAAAAAATACACAAAAAATTACCTTCCTTTATTTTTACATCTCCCTCATCACTATCTCTGTTGCCGGTTTTCCTTTTCTTTTTTTCTTTCCTTTCCTTTCTCCCTCTCTCTCTTCCCTCTCCTTTCTTCCTTTTCTCCTCTTTCCTCTCCTCCTCTCTCTCTCTCTCTTTCTCACCCTATCCCTATCCCGATTACCTTTCCCTCTTCCTTCCATTCGATCGAAAGAAGGAAGGAGGAGAGAGAGAGGGGGAAAGGAAGGAGGAGAAGGAGAGGAAAGAAGAGGGAGGAAGGACAGAGAAAAAAGAAAAAAAAGACCGCTAGCGCCGGTTGTCAGTAGAGATGCCGATAACAGGAGGCGGCCAATGGAGAGAGAGAGAGAGAAAAAAAAAGAGTAGTGGGATCAGGGAGAAGAAAAGGAGTTGAAAAAAAGGGAAAAAGAAAAAGAAAGGAAAAAGAAAATGGAAAAAATTAAATGTTTTCTTTTTTTTAAAGAAAATTTTTTAAACATCTAAAAAAAAGTTTTTTTTTACAAATTCTACATTAAGTTATAATAAAACTTAGACAAACAGTCAAAAAATTCATTTGCCATGAAATAAGTTGCAATCACAAACATTGTTTTGAAAATCGGATTGAACCGGCAGGTTCAACTAGTCAGATCGTGCACTATTCATAACTCCGGTCCGGTTTATACTTTGGGTTGATTGAACTTAAAAACCGATAAGAATAGTTCGAACCATACGAACTTTGCGAATGTTGAACCAACAATTTTTTTGTTTTTGTCTATTAAATTAAAAAACATATAGGTTTTCTTTAACCTTAAAGATTAATTATTAAATGTCAGATCCACTCGCTTTCTTCTCTTTTTTTGCCTCTTATCAAGTTTGTATCCCTATTTTCTATTTTCCTGACTTTTTCCAAACTCCTAATTTCTTTTTTTTTTTTCAAGTTGTAATCTTTAAATTCAAAAAACGTGAATTAAATTTGAAACTTACAATGTCTAATTCCCATATACATAAATTTTGTATAATTTCAAAATATTGTGGTATTTTTTGGTTGGATTTAAGATTATTTTTTTGGTAGATACAATTGAGATTGAGATAAAAAAATTTTGTTTCAACTTATTATTTTAAAAAGGGAAAATTGTTCAAAACGTCCCTCACATTTTACAAGATGACTTTTTTCGTCCCTCACTTTTAAAAATGTAATTTTACATCCCTTACAAATTCACATTGACCAAATTTGGTCCCTACCTAGATTTCTGACTAATTTTTTGCCGGAATCCACCACATGACTTGCATATGATCATTTTTAAGGGCAAAATTGTTAAATCAAATTTTTAAATAATCTGATTCACAGTCCCTCACATTTCACAAAATGAATTTTTCTATCCCTCACATTTTTCAAAATGATTTTTTTCATCCCTCATTGATCATGTGTATGAATAGCTTTTTTTCTAGAAACCCACGCATATGTTTATTTGATTTTACCTGAACAGTACGAATAACATGTAATTTATCTCTATTGGATTTCATCTAAACATGCTAATCGTAGTTATACACATGCTATTCAATAAATATATATAGGGGTTTAAAACTCATAATTTTCTTTGAAACCCATGTACACATTTATATGATTTCACCATTTCAACCTATTTAATATTTGTGACATTTCTCTTTTGGTAATAATTTATTTATTGAATTGTATAATAAGGTCATCTAATTAATGGGTCATAACTCGAATTCTATAATTGTGCTAACAAATTTCAGTTTAAATATGAAATTTCTATTCGACACTTTTAAGACCAACAGTTGAATTACTTGCCTTGTGATTATTTTAAAATTTGAAAATGCCAATCACTTATTTCTTTTTGTCATAATTTTCTTTTGTTTATTTTTTTTGTCCAAATTTAATTCAATATAAACACTTGATAATATTTAGGATTAAATGTTTTCTTTATTTTCAAAGTTCAAGTAAAAAAAATGAATATAAGTGAAAAACTAACAATTTTTTTAACCCATTTATATATCTATTTGATTTCACTAGAGTAGTATGAATAGTATGTAATATATTTCTATTTGATTTCACATGCTATTCGTACTGTTCAGGTGAAATCAAATAGATATATACATAGATTTAAAAAAAATTATTCACACACATGATCAATAAAAAGATGAAAAAATTCATTTTGAAAAATGTGAAGGATGAAAAAATTTATTTTGTAAAATGTAAGGGACGAAAAAATTTATTTTATGAAATGTGAAGGATTATGAATCGAATTATATAAAATTTAATTTGACAAATTTGCCCTTAAAATATGATCACGTGGTGAATTCCAACCAAAAACTAGTCGGAAATCTAAGTAGAGATCAAATTTGACCAATATGAATTTGTAAGGGATGTAAAATTACATTTTTAAAAGTGAGGGACGAAAAAAGTTATTTTACAAAATGTGAGGGACGTTTTGAACGATTTTTCCTTTTAAAAAATTATTTGTGAAAATCCAAGTTCTTTAAAAATATTAAACTTTTCATTTTATGAAGTTTTAGATTAGTCTATTGCATGCCTTATTTTGTGCATATATATATATTTATACAAATTATTTTTTAAAAATTCATTGATCAGGGTTGAACAGGTTCGATCTATTAAATCCCGGCTCGAACACCTCACGGTTCAATTAATGGTCTGAGTTTCAAAACATTGATCACAATCCAATTGCAAACTCCCTCCTTTGAGTTAGTAAAGATTTTTGTTGTTCGAACGGGGAAGGGTGAAAGTAAACGAGGAACCGTAAAAGGGGTAAACTGGTCAATGGGATTAGATTACTCAAGTACTTAACCGTGTAGTAAACGCCAACTTCCATAACCGTTTCCGGGACAGGATCCATCTGGCCTGCCGCTTCAACCGTTTGGCGCCCTCCCAGTTCCTTTCCTTTCTTGCCTCTTTGCTTTCACCTCGTAATCTCCAAACAATCATCCTCTCCTTGAACCCCCCAACGTTTTCTCCACCCCTTTGTTTTAATTCCGCCATTACTCTTGTTAAAGACCAAATCATGCGTTGAAGAAATCACTTCAAGAAATTTTGTGGGTTTTGAAGAATATCAGATCTTTAAGCATCACCTCTCTTGATATTCTTATTCCGGTAAGTTTGACGATTTGGATTAATTGTTTGCTTTCCTTTAAAAAGCATGGGCACGTATAGAAATTCAAAAGGGGGAATTTTCATATCTATTGGATTATTTGACATGTCTCACTTTCTTTGAATATCCACAAACTCTGAGTACGCTTCAGTTTTTATGGCTAAGTTGGATTTTGTTATCCTCGAAATCGAGAATATATCCGAGGGAATAAAGAGTAGAAGGCTAAGCATTATTGTGGGTGGAGAGAAATGTTTCCTATATCCACAGGTTATAATATTCTCTTAAAGGTTGCAATTAATTAAAACGACCAACTCTGTTTTCTCTTTTTGCTGATCTTGGGTTAATCGATGTGAATTTCATTTTCTCTTTAAGCTTAGGTGAGAAGTACAGGGTTAGCTTGAAAAGAACAGACCAATCTACTCGAGGATGGCGACCATGCATTCAACTATAGTGTTTATTATGGTGGAGATGTTGGTGATGATGCTCGCGGTTCATGCAGGGGATACAAATCCTGAATTTGATCCCTGCTCAGATGCAAAAGTTCAAAGATCGGACGGTTTTTCATTTGGTCTTGCATTTTCCTCAAAAGATTCTTTCTTTTTCAATCAAACACAGCTTTCACCCTGTGATCAGCGTTTGTCACTTTCAGCTAAGAGTGCTCAGTTAGCCATTTTTAGGCCTAAGGTTGATGAGATGTCTCTCCTCACCATCAATAGCAGCACTTTCGATCCAGTAAGTTTTCTTTGCCAACAATTACGTTTACACTCTCTATGCAACGAATAATCTGTCAATGATTGCTTGTGATTGATTCTACGAGGAGAAATATGTAACAGCAATTGATTGACAAAAGAGTTTTGTACACAAGTTCAGACTTGATTATTAATTCTATTCGAGAATTGTAATGATAATCTCAAACTTGCGATCAGAGAAATTCCGGTGGTTATATGGTTGCATTTGCCGGAAGACGCTATGCAGCCCGTTCCATCCCTGTTTTTGTTGCAGATAGTGCTCAGACCGTCACCAGTTTTACCCTGGTACGATCACTTGGTCCATTATTTAGCGTCGGCTTTCTTCTGTATTCTCTAATTCTAGGGACGTCCTGATATTATGTTCTTGAGCTCCGTCTTCTTGTGAAACAGGTTCTTGAATTCCAGAAGGGCACTCTGCAAAATCTATTTTGGAAGAAGTACGGATGCGACGCCTGCTCTGGGGATTCTTTTGTTTGCATGAACAATACGGATTGTGCAATCCGGAATTCCAAGTGCAAGGGCAACGGCGGATCTCTTGACTGCAACATAGGCATCCAGTTGGCCTTTTCGGGCACAGACAAGAATGACGATGTTCTCAATTCTTGGTACGAGGTGTCCAACCTTCGACAATACTCTCTGTATGCCCTCTACTCGGATCTTCGCGATTCTCTCACCAGCCCTTTTAAAAACCTTTTCTGAAGGCTCTTTGTGTAATACTTGTAAAATCAACACTCACACTTGTTTTTTAGCTCCTGAAACTGCGACCTAAAATGTAGCACAGTATTTTTATGATCGGTTCAGTTGCTATTATATAGGCCAGATTGCAATATGTTATCACTTGGAGAAACTCAGTTTTGTTACTTATTGGTTCTTCTGTCGGTCTTTGTTTAGAAGCGATCCCATTCCAAGCGGCCAGTTTGTTTGAGCAAAGCAGCGAGTTTTAACGCTCATTTTTTGTTATTCAAAAAGTGTTTTATTCGAGGGCTGGATGACCAGATGCACTTCACGATTGATTGCCATGACAAATCTGTTGGGTTGATAACGTTCCTACGAACCTTCTCACTGGACTCTCTGAACAAACAAATGCCAAAGACAGAAAAGCTCCATTAACAAATTGGACAGTTCACGGAAAAACTCCATTTAACAGCTTTGCCAAAGAACCTTTTCACTGGACTCTTCTGGGAAAACTCCATTACCGGCTTGGCCACTGCCGGAAAGCTGAAAGACGGGAAAGGACGACCCTTTCAATCCGCAATTCCCGGACATTTTTTAATTTTAGAACGGGTAACCAAGCAGCCAACTTCACGACCTTCTGTGCCCCACCATCGTTTAAGTTGCTAAGTTTGCAAGCGCAGGATCTTGAGAAGATGAATCAGTTACAGATACCAGCTGAAGTGTTAAACAAAGTTCTTTCGTTGAACTTGGCATTATGTTTTATATTGGTAAAACTTCCTAAGAACCTCTACCCTGTGGACTCTAATATAAAAGAGGAAATTACGATACAAAGAAGAATATATAGAACCTAAGTTTTTTTTTTTTAAAAAAAATGAATTTCATCAACAGACGCCACTGCTCAATAACTCGATCAATGCTAAGATCTGAAACTAGAGGAAATATAATTACAAGGATCCCCATCAAAGAGGAGACATGATTGAGCACTTAAACAGACACTTTCTTGCAAAACCTACCTTTCACTATTGTACACCTCGAATAGAAGCAGAAACCACAGAGCATAAAACAAATTTGGACCTCTTTACCATCCAATTCAGCTTGTCAAGGAAAGCGAGCTTTGCAAGCCAGTCACCATGTTACGGATTTCAAGTTAAGCCAATTATGGTATGGTAGTCTCTCCAGATCTTCACCACAATATCTGGTATCCACACTGTTACTGGAGCTGTTAGGAACTCAAATCACTCCGACATTGGGCATAAAGGAAAAATTGCCCCTATACATGTTGAGCACGCATCTTCTCATGGATATCCATCACAACATCCTGAAGCTCCGGAAAAATTGATACGAGTACGAGTTCAAGTATTCCATACGCAAGTTGCTTTAAACAAATGGTAGACTACAATTGGCAATTGACAACTGTTAGGATTCTTGCTGGAATGTACGTACTGTAAATAAAAGAAAGCTCGCCTCAAAGTCACTTTAGGCTACAACTGACTAGTCTGTTTGGGCGGTTTTACCTGAAGGAAATAATATATATCCCTAGCACACCGCCTATACTGCTTATGCCCTATCAAGCTGACCAATGCGGATGGAGCACCATCTGAAACATAATAAAAGTTGAACTCTTTCTAGAAACGGAATTCCAATAACAACAAAAAGTCACCAATTCTCAAAATGCAGGAACTGATAACTGTAAGGTAAGATTCAAGCATGTGTAGAATAAACTAGGAATGCAAACAAGATATGATAAAATGAATATAAAACTTAGTTGTAAGTATACTCCATTTTACATAAAGCTGAAAAAACTAAATTATAGCATATCCATTCTTCAACATTCTCCAACAAAACAATCTGCAAAAGCAATCAGCTAGCCTTTTAGAAAAGATTATATTAAAAAAGAGGCTCGATAGTGGAAATACAGCTATACACAAGTTAGGGACCTATAGCATCAGTAAAGGAGCCTGCTTCACGGTAACAGTTGCCATCTAGCAATGCAGGAATAGACATGAACTACCAGTTTAAAATAAGACACATTAAACAGAGCAGACCAGAAAGGTATAATGCTCACCAAAAAGCAACTTCTTCACATCACTAGCTCTACGAGCAGCCTCCAGCTGTTGCTCAAATGAACCAGGTCTATAGGCTTTACTTCGAGCTGATTGTTCTGGAGTTTGCACAGAGACTTGACTCTGTTCACTATCGTCCGCTTGAGATTCAATATTCCATTTCAGGAAGAATTTGCCATCAGGCCAAAGGACCTGGGAGATCAATAGTCATTTATTACACAACTCCTTTCAAGCTTCAGAACTAAAACGTTTACATTTAATTCATCCTTTCAAAGACCAAACTAAGAGTCATAATTAAATAATGACCACAATAACTTAACAATGCAACCAATCCATTAATGAGATGAATCTCATCCATTGACTAACAGCATACACCCAACAACAGTCTAGTTGATCAGATTGGTTAGACTTTAGAGTTTAGGGATTATAATAATCTCAGAACTTGTATTCGAAGTTTGTAGAACTTAAAATCGAAGAGAGTTGATGCTCATAAAATTAACTTTTGTTGCTAAATAATTACAAAGAAGATTGCAGCGTATTAAGAAAAGATTAAAGTACTGATTCTAGAGTAATAATTAAAACAGGAATATAATCGAAAGTTATTTATTTTAGTGTGATGTGGATAGTTATAAAAAAACTTTGATCAAACCTATTTTTCCTTGACAATTAGAAACAGGACCAAGTAGTAATTCCCCCTCAAACATGTCATGAACACATATCCCTGTTTTATCTCCGTGAGTTCAGCCTTTGTGATGACCAATTTTAGTTTCTGGCCTCAGCATCCATACTACCTGGCATTTTTATATTTTACTCGGTCTGACTTAATGCTAAAATTACAAATTCAAGAATACAACAATTCACTCAATGTTTTCATCCCATTGGGAAGCCATCGGAGAATCTACATTTTGGTCATGCATAATAGAAAAATCAAACTTTAATGAAATTTTGCTTCAAATGAAAATATGGCACTGAAGAAATCATGTATTTAAGCTCAATGCCTTCAAAAAGAAACTAAAACACCTTCTATTGGCCATAACGAGTGACCTACTAGCCTACATCACACTTTATTTGTTACAGAACATCCAATTTTAACATAAGCATAAAGTTTTGCAGCCAAGAACCAAAAAAATTATTGGAACAGTGCACTTCGCAGGTAATAATAGCATAAAGTGATGCGATCTAACCAATATCCCATGCAAGTTAGAAGTAAAATGGAAGAGAGGGAGAAATTTGAGTATTAAATGCTATCTATATATGGATTGCTCATCTAAAGTAATCATGTTACTGCAAGACTTCACAAATAAAGCCATACCTGCTGATCTTGATCATGAATATATAATTAAACAATTGTGAAATTTAGAAAGCTAGAGCACTTAAACAGATACACGTGTGCTTGTGATAACGGAAGACATACATCTTGAATCCATCGTATTCCATAAGCAACAACATCTTCTCTACGAAGCCAGTGAATTTCCCTTAAAAGCCAGTCATCAATGGCATCCTCCATCATTAACTGCAAAATTTGCTTTGACATCCAGAAAACTTGTCTTCTGCATTTAAAGAACACAAGTTTTTGTTTACATCTAAAAGCTTTGTGATTTTACATCTAATAACTAATTTACAATTGATGAACAGCAGTAAAAACCCTGATTATCAAAGGGCCTGCAGAAACATGAAAAGGACAATCAAAGATGCTATGAAGAAAAAGACAACTTTGACCTTTACCTTATCCACCCTCTTTTCTTGAGCTGGAATATCTTATCTACTAGATTCAGTATAGGTACAGTTAAATTAGGTGGAGTCCACTGCAAAAAACCACCAATAACAAGCAGAGTAAGCATGGATGGAGACATAGGATGATAAGGGCAAAGCGAATAAACGGTAACCGGAGTATACCATCCAATAGAACATTATTTTAACAATTGAGAAAGATATGAATATGCAGCAAATCCTCATGGATGATCGCTACCCAATATTCAGTTCTCTCCAAGATCTCTTATGCATGATGACTTCAATATTAAAACATTCCATACAAGTGTCAGTCAAGCAGTTCCTGTGATGAATTCTAGTTTGGAATCAGTATTCATGCATTAGAATTAAGACATTTGATGTGCAAAAATATAAAATACAGTAGCTGAACATGATCGTTCAAGCAAATATTGAAGCCTTTATGCATAATTATGTAAGAAACCCACAATGACAAAATAGAAAGCCAACTGATATAAGGTAGTGAAAGGTACAGTAATGGGGAGAAGAAAAAAAAAGTAATCTACCAAATTCACAATACCTCTGGTGGCACCTCAGCTGGATCCCCCGACTGATTAGATGTCAATGCCAAACTTAAATCTGGAGCTTTCCCCAGGCTGAGTGAATTAGATAGTTCTGTATCATGTTTCACCACAGAATCCAAGTTTCCAAAATCACCATCACGTTTAACGACCCGTGGAGGAAACCCTTTCGAATTCAACTCATTGTCTGAATGCCAGCCATTAGCTTGTGTACTGGATTCTACTTCCGACCGAACCTGGCCATCTTTATCGACTTCTTCATTATCAGAAAAGCTGTTAACTGACTCTGAAGCACTTTGCATCAAGGACATTTTATTAATATCATCTGCATTCCAAGATACATGCCTGCTTGGAACTGATGAAGATAAATCAAATGAAGAAGAAGGTGAACCAACAACCTTCTTCATTAAGCCATCAGAAACTCCTCTGAACTGCCGTACAATGTCATCCACGGCATCATCCACATTAACTGTTTGCCAAGTACACAAAACATTAAGCACAATATCATTGACAGAATGTCTTCAACCACAACTATACAAATGATTTTGGAGATAAGAAGCTAAACCATAAAACAGAGGATAAGGCGACAATCAATATAGCTTAGTCTCATTAAACTAATTGGCAAACATTACAATTTACAACAACATAGAAAGCTAGATCTTTTACTGTGTTTATCCAAGAAGCTGTCACTTGTAGACCAGATAGATATAGTACATGCCTAGCCCATGAGCAAAACAATTCAACCAGACAGATGAGGCAAACTTCAGAAAATTAATAATTCATTAAAACTACCTTCCAGGCAACGAAAGTAAAAATTAAAATGGACCAAAACTC